AAGAGGGTTCTCTTCGAGGTCAGGAATCGACTAAAATAAGATATTTTGGAAGCATTAATGTGCGCAAAGGACTGGGAAGACGCTTATTATCGGCTGCAAGATAAAAATGTCGAAATTGAATGTAGTCAAGTAAGTGATATTTAATTTAATCATATTCGTCACAAAATAGTGTTAAAAAAAAAAAAAGAGTTGAGCGCCCATGAGCGACGAGCTTGTGTGGGTAAGGGCCAAGCCGAGCCATTGCCACCCATAGTTTAATCTCACATCTGGTCTCTAACAATTAATGAATTACTTAGAGAATGAAGCTAAAACATATAATTGGTAAACTTGGCGGACGCTGATGTAAGATCGTCCATATGCCACTTACTAATTAACTGTTAGTACAATGTGTAAGAAATCTTTCATCGTTATGTTTCCTTTGACCTCAATAGACTACGTAATCCGAGCTGACCTCATACACCGAACTCACATTAGCTTTGGCTTATTGCATACACCAAACAACACTTATTGACCTCGGAGGTCGGATGCCAGCAATATTCTACTTTGATTGATAAAAATATATACTTTAGCTTCGATTTGGTGTAAATTAAAACTAAATTTTTTTGATAAAATTAATAAAATATATAATTAAAAAATTATAAATCTCATAAAGCATATAATTATAAATGGTTATGAATTTTAATTCAAATTAAAATCTAAATTTTAATCTGAGAGGCTAAATGTGGGCGAAGTGAGAATATTCTTGGACAATTTCCAAAATAGAAAAGATTGTCCGAATTTACATCACGTTGACATCAGCAAAATGAAATGTACTTCACTTCTTGAAGGCGTGTACAGAACGCGCCACTATCCGCGACCGGCCCAAATGTCATAAAGTGGGAAAAGTAGAAAACTAGTTCAACGGTTACAACACGGCGTTATTATCGTTCAAAAGAAAAAAAAACCACTACGTCAAACAGTGCCTTAAAATCTCTCGTCTCATTTTCTCTACTTTCTGTCTCCCAGTTCACATATCATAATATTCCACAAAAGAATACCCATTTGACCCTGTACTCCGATCTTCACGCACAGAAATTTCTTGAATTTTTTGCTTTTTGGTTGAGATTATGGAGTTGAAGAACAGAGCTCTCTACTGTACCTTCTGTACAGTTCTTGCTGTTTTATTGAATTGTCCTGCGGTGTTTGCAGGTGATATAGTTCACCAAGATGATATCGCTCCAGCAAGACCTGGTTGCAATAACAACTTTGTGCTGGTAAAATCCATTCTTTTATCTTCTTTTTTCCGATGTTGGAATATTCCACCTTTTAATTGCATATTGATATGAATTTTATATGGATGTATATAGTTCATTTTGACAATTTTCTTGATGTTTGAAGACGATCGTCTATGTAAACAATAGGGTAAACGATTTTATGTTCTTTACCTTTTTTCTAGATTGTTTTGGAGGATTTTGAGCATGGACTAAGCTTATAATTAAGGAAAAATTGCTTTTATTTCTGATTTGTTTGAATAACTTTTTTTTTTTGGCTTATTTCAACTAAAAAATGTCTCTAATTCTGAAATTAACTCTTTATTTGCTTTGAAAGTCCAATTCAATCAATAAGAAGATTATTGATTTTAAACTTATTTAATTATAAGAAAAAAATTTAAGCCACCAAACATGATCGTATACTCATTTGTTCCTCCTTTTTTTTTTTCTCTTTTGGTCTAATCCTATTTCGTATAAGGTTTTTAATAGAGTATGAGGTTTCTTAATATGTATATATTTTCACTGTCTTGTGGTTGTTATTGTTGTTGTCATAATTGTTTGAGAAAGAGCGATTATGATTGCTATGATTACCCTTTATGACCTTTTGATTTAATATATTTTGATCTGCTTGGTGCCATTATAGCTCTTGATGAAGCTAATAGTATATTTCCAAGCTTCTATTATTTAAATTTTTTCTCAAATTGAGTCAGCTTTCGTGGTTTCTATATTAAATATGGATTTCAACCGGCATTTTACTTACAATCTCTTCATGTAATTTACCACTTAAATTGGACTTCAATCTGATTTCTTAGAATTTTCAGCAGGTCGCTTTTGTAGGAATCATTGATTACTTAGAAAGAGATTTTATCTTTGAAATATTGGAATTGAGTACTTACTGCTTTCATGAATAGTTTGCTAGTTGTTCATTACTCTTTCACCTTTTTTTTTGTTCAATTTTTTATAATTGTAGCTCCAGTATAGTCATAAAGTAAAGCACGGCGTTTAACTTTTCCAAAAAAAAAGAAGTAATATTAAATAAATTGAAAGGCATGCATTTTTAAATAAGCGCGAGATCCACTGTAAACAGATTAATGGATGCACTTGGTTAATTAAACTAAACTTACGAAATATAATTAATTTTTATTATACTGTCAATTATCTTGATGACTTTTATCCTTGTTTATGACAGTTTTAAGTTTGTATGCATTTATCTGTGTTATTGAAGCTAAAATTCCTTATGGTGGAATAGGTTAAAATACCAATTTGGCTAAATGGTAAAGAAGTAATGGAGTTTGTCGGTGTCGGTGCTCGGTTTGGTCCCACCTTGGAAGCAAAAGAGAAACGCGCCAACCAGTCTAGAGTTGCTCTCGCAGATCCTCCTGATTGTTGTACAAAACCCCGGAATAAGGTTTTCTTTTTTCCTGGACAGACAGTTTATTGTGGTCAAGACTACATGACTTCCCCATGGGAAGTATACCCTTCTGATCGAAAAGCACTAAGAGCACGTTTGGCTTAGCTTAGAAAAATTAAAAGTTTTAAGTAACTTTTTGTTTCTAAACGTGTTTGGAAATGTTACCTTAAAAAATTATTTTATTGTGAAAGAAACTCTTAACTTACTTATTTCCAATTTTGACCAATTAAAAAAATTATTACTTTTGAAACATGTTTACTTATAAGTGAATTTACTTAGAGGTGAACTTCTTAAGCGTACCTAAACGTGCTCCTGGGGTAGTAATACCTGAGTTCATATACCGTTTACATTTTTGTAGCTCACAGGTGAGGTTATCTTGGTTCATCGGGGTAATTGCAGTTTCACTACCAAAGCAAATGTAGCAGAAGCTGCTGGTGCTTCAGCAATACTTATTGTGAACAACCGCACAGGTTATAGATCTATACTACTTTTGCCAATGTACTCTTGCCAATAAAGATGATCTCAGTACAACTATACGAAATATAATTTACATAATTGCATATGATGTTGGTGAACTTCCTTATTCAAAACTCATAAAATTATCTTCTTAATCCGTGAATTCTCAATCCAACTAAAGATAATTATAGGTGGACCCAGGTCTAGAACCAATTGCTCTAATAACCACTGAATTGTGAATGTGTGATGATATTGAAGCATTTGTTGTGTTGTAAGTTAAAGCTGACATGGCCTAATTTGTGGTGGGGTAATTCTTTAGAACTATTCAAGATGGTTTGTGAAGCCAACAAAACTGATGTGGACATTAAGATACCTGCTGTCATGATCCCACAAGATGCTGGCGCTAGCTTGGTACAAAGTATCAGGAATGACTCTCACGGTAAGATTACTCTGCATGGTTTAACATTGTCAAAGATGAAAAATAATTTTATTATTTTATTTTATTTTATTTTTTTGACATATATTTTGATGCTCTAGCTGCTAGATCTAGGCATTATTAGCTTGTTTGATAGGAAGGATTGGATATCACTGTATAGAACTTGCAGAATTAAGGAAGAAAGAAATTAAGATTTGTTGATTAGAGTCCAATATTGTCTAATGTGGTGTACCAAACACATGCTTCAGCTTTTGTCAATATGGGGTTTCTTTCTCTGAGATGTTGCTTAAGGACTTACCTTTCTTTTTAGTTTCTGTTCAACTGTACTCTCCACGACGACCAGCAGTGGATGTTGCTGAGGTTTTTCTATGGCTAATGGCTGTTGGTACCATTTTATGCGCATCTTATTGGTCTGCATCCACTGCAAGAGAAGCAGCTATTGAGCAGGACAAGTTCTTAAAGGTTTCTCATTATAGACATAGTTTTTTCTATTTGATTAAGGTTCTGCTGATTACGGTCAATATTTGGTTCCTCTGATCATGCACTTGATATATTTTGGTTGACCGTGCAGGATATTTCCGATGAGTATCTCAGCAAGGAAAACAATCGCTCTAGTGGTTTTGTGGACATCAACACGACATCAGCAATTTTCTTTGTTGTGATTGCTTCCTGTTTCTTGGTTATGCTCTACAAATTGATGTCTTACTGGTTCATTGAGGTTCTGGTGGTTCTATTTTGCATCGGTGGTATAGAGGTACACAGTCTTAGATTACACAAGTTCTCTAAGAAAATATCTTATCAGTAGAAAGTTTTCATTATTTTTTGAAAGAAAATTATAAGTTCATGGTCTTACATTTCAGCTAAATATAGTTGGAAAGAGCGTCGCCAAAAAAGAAAAAAAATGAAAAAAGAAAAAAAGAAAAGGGAAGGAGATAGATAAATGCACAAACAAAGAGGGAGAGAGATATTTTTTCCTTAATCGTATTATGCATGACTAGTAAGATGTATGCGTCAGAAATGGTCAGAGATGGATTTAATTAGGGCAGATAGAATTTCTCCCTGAATGCTGAATCTTTTGCCTTGTGCTTACAGGGTCTACAAACTTGTTTGGTGGCGCTATTATCATGGTATGTATTCTTGATTTTTCTTCAAATCATGGTTATCTTGACTATCTCAATTTTTCCTATTCTCACATGGAGAGAGCCTTTTTGTTGCCCTAGGAGGCAACAAATAAAACAGGCCAATTAGTTAGGAAGGGAAAATTGGAGGGAACTGCATTTTCTCCTGCTCATTTTGCAGAAAATTGGGGGGAACGTGAGAAATGTTTCTTCATCTTTTCTCCTTCCGTCTAGGATAATATTTTACTAGTCATTTTTTCCCTTCTCATTCTGAAAACTGTTTTCCTTCCTTTCGGCACAGAGTAGGAATTGTTGAGGAATGAAAAAGGTTAGGTGTTATCAACATAGTGGATAATCCTAAGATTCAATGACCCAAAATAATTACTTCTTCAATTGGTAATTTGGTACAATTATGAATTATGTAGTTAATGATTTTAATATTCAAGTTTCAAACCAGGGATCCATTAGTTCTATTTCTCCATTGAAGCCTTTCATTTTCAACTTATCTCATTATGTGAGCTCCAGATTGCGGCAAAACTGGTTTAGGAAATCTTATCAAAACCTGACGCTAGTAGACACATGAAAAAATGGTCTCAGTTTGTATCTTTTTCTACTTATTCATATTGAACGCTAATAAGTTCCCTTTTTTCATCATTACAGATACATGCAAATCAGAGGGAGTAAGTTTATTTTACTTCTCCTTTAAAACTGTTAGCGTTTTCATTCCCATGTTCAATTTCTTACAACCAAATTCATAATTGTAGGGAATTTATTGAAGTTCTTTTTGTTCCTTTTTTTTTTTTTTCTCTCTTTCCGGGGCCTTTTTTTTTATCTTTTTGGGAGGGACGCCTGCTGATAGTTAGTGTCTTGAATATGTTCTCAATTGTAATTACCATAAAAGATTTCTTCTGGATGATTTTGCTTTTGGAACAAAGAGAGATATATGATGCTATTTTTCTTTGTGGATTCTTTGAGGGATTTGGTTTTTCAAAGGCATGGACTAACAGTTCAATATAGTTTCAGATGGTTTGAACCTGCTGCAGAGTCATTTGTTAAAGTACCTTTCCTGGGAGCTGTATCATATTTGACACTTGCCGTTTCTCCTTTCTGCATAGCATTTGCTGTAGTGTGGGCAGTTTTCCGCCGTGTCTCCGTCGCTTGGATTGGCCAAGATATCCTTGTAAGAATGAATATTCCATATCCCTTATATATTTGTTTATCAATAAATAGAGGCATCGCTTCAAACCTTACTCATTTCCAATTTTGATGAATAAAAAGGAATTAATTATTTTAGAACGAACTTATTTAATTATAAATGATCTTTTTAAGCTTAGCCAAACATGCTCGTAAAGTGAGAAAGACGCGGTTCTTCTCTCATTTCCTTGCGTGAATTGTGCAATATGTAGATGCTAAGATGTTCACACAATCCTCCCCTGATTATGAAGTTATTTGCAAAGGCCATTTTGTTACATCTTACATTAACTCGACTTTCCTTAAAATGAAGTGTGCCAGTTAGGTTCTACAGCTATTTTTAACAATATAGAAGTTACTCTAATATTGCAACTTCCACACTATTTTTCTCTTTCTAATTGTTTGTGTAGATGCCGATGACTGTAAAATGAAGAGTTTGATTTGTCTTTAAATATGTATGTTGATGTTGCCAATGCATGCATTTAATTCTTCCTTCCATTTTCTCCTTTGAACCAGGGAATCGCGTTGATAATCACAGTTCTTCAAGTCGTACGAGTTCCCAATCTCAAGGTTGTTATTGAAACTTATTTTATTTGATAAATTCTTGTTGCTTCTAGTTGTAACCATTTATTAAAATGCTTAAGTTGATAATATGCAATACTGTCAACCAATCCCATTCAAGCAGCATAGTTCTCTTTTGTTATATTAGCCTGTCATTTTCCAAATTATTTGCACAGAATAATAAATTTTTGCACTAGAAAACATTAAACTGCACACAAGTTTCTTCTCAATGAACCTCACTGACTGTGATTTCGAATTGAGAATCTGGTTTTGACTTGTGACTTCCCATAGAGATTTTGTCCTTGTATTGTCCTTAAACTACCGATTGTTGGGAAACGGAAAAAAAAATATTCCCGAAATAAGCTTCTGTGGACATTTTAGATCAGTAGGAAACCACCACTTGACCAAATAAAAAAGAAATAAAGTTAGAACAACATAAATTCAAGATAGAAAGGAAAGAGAAAAATTTAAAAAGAAAAACACAAAACGGGCCTTTTAAAAAGTTTTTGCAGTTTACAGGAATGTCAGGCAAAGTTATTGTTGTGGCACAAGGAGCCAACACTTCTATGTGTATTATTGCATAATATATTGGTGTTTAATGCTTTATAAAATAAACCATGTGTTCAAGGAGTATGTAATTCAAAAAGAATTGGAATAAATGCTCATTTTGAACAGATGAATAAATTACTTGGGAAATACACATAAATGCCACTCCTAACAATGAGTAAAAGCAAAAAAGGAAAGTGCAATGCTCAATCTAAGTATAATACGAGCTTAAATGTTATCTGTAGAAAGATGCAGTCACATTTCAACATTATAAGAACGTTTATTGCTTAGGCTTTAATATAAGATCAAACATCCGAAATTTCCTTCAAACATAATGAGGGAGACTCTTTGATAGACATGGCACGTTGACAATAAATGCATATGTACACAGTATTGTATAAGACTGGATAGTAAACAAAAATAAGTTAAGATGTTCATAGTACTCTCAAGTCACATTTAGTAATACTTACCAAACATGCTGTAATACTAAAACATGATCTCACATTTTGTTCGGCATGCTCAGGTGGGAACTGTTCTACTCAGTTGTGCGTTCTTGTACGACATTTTTTGGGTGTTTGTTTCCAAATGGCTGTTCAAAGTGAGCGTGATGATAGTGGTGAGCAATAGTTCGAATCTTGTTATACGAGTAATTGTAGCTTTTAATAGATGAACGATGGAAAATAACCAGATTAGTTTGATTTCTCATGTAGGTAGCTCGTGGTGATAAAAGTGGCGAAGACGGCATTCCCATGCTACTCAAGATCCCTCGAATGTTTGATCCTTGGGGCGGATACAGCATCATTGGATTTGGCGATATCATTTTGCCAGGACTACTAGTGGCCTTTTCCCTAAGGTTTGAGTGCCAGAGTTATGTAAAATTAGCACATTTGATGGCTCTTCTTGCCCATAATTAACAAATAGGGGTGTTGAACACATTAAAACGAGAAATCGAAAGATTTCATTGAAATTGTCCATTTAGATTTCCCAAAATGCTAATTATAAGTTCTCGTAGCTTCATAATATTTCTTAAAAGCTTCTGCATAACTTCCTTAGGATTAATCTGACCCCCATTCCGGTTTTCATTCAATTAAAAAGCAATTTATTTAAAATCCTAGTGAAACATTGTATTTCTTATTGTTGTCCTGTAAATTAGTTGAGGTTGTGTGATTGGATCTTTGTTGTTCTCTACTGTGCCTTTTTTTCTGATCCAAACCCATTATCATTTTGTTAGAAATGATTTACAAACCTTCGCGTCTACTTTTAGTTTTTAATCCAATCTATTGGCTCAATAGAGCTTTTATTCTCTACTGTTTTTCTGAAGTCTATGCTTTTTTTTATTTTGCCGACTTCAAAAAGGTTTTGGATTTTCAGATACTATACAATAAATCGAAGGGATGGATCAAATACAAAAAAAAAAAGGAGGTTTAGTTTGGGAAAAGGATTGAGAAAGAGTCTATATTTTGCCAACAAATATATTTCCANAATTGTTTTTGATTTTCAGATACTATACAATCAATCGATGGGATGGATCAAATCCATTAAAAAAAAGGAGGGTTAGTTTGGGAAAAGGATTGAGAAAGAGTCTATATTTTGCCAACAAATATATTTCCCATAATAAAAGTATTCAAATAGCCAACATCAAATTTGTCCGGAATGAGGGTGGTGGTTCTTTTCGATGATGTGGCATCATAAATAAGTTGACCATAGATGTGATATAGTTTTGATCGTCAAAGGGAGCCAAGATTAACTAGTTTTTCCTGTGTTATTGCAGATACGATTGGCTGTCTAAANATTGGCTGTCTAAAAAAAGTCTACGAGATGGATACTTTCTATGGGCAATGATTGCTTATGGCTCAGGTATGGTTTGATTATATAGGCAGCAGTGAATTCAATGCAGGCTTTTAATATAATTCTCTCTCGTGTCCCTTCTCTCCCACTTCACACCTCAGAATGCACACTTTTTATACAGAGAAATGCACTTACACATCTTCTTAACCTAAAATGAAATGGCTGGTGAGGGAAGGGGGAAGGTTCCCTTTTTTTTTTCAGAGTACTCTCAGGAACAGATCCAACAAAGACTAGGTGGGGCCTGTAGCACAGAGGATTAGAGTACATGGCTACGAACCACAGTGTTGGGTTCTGAATCCCTCCTTGTCCACAACCAGCCCAAAAAGGAAGTGCCTCCCCCTCTGGGGGTAGGATAAGCTTTTTATCATAATAATGTGATGCGCTATAAGGCATCTTCTGTAGGAAGGATTTGACCTTATTGGACAGATTAAAGAAGAAAAAAGCCAAGATTTTGTTCTGTATTTCATAAAAAAATAATAATAATAAAAAAATCATGCTTTGAAAGGGTTGTTGTTTATATGGTAGTTTGTCTCTTAACATCACAGGTCTTCTTGTTACATATGTGGCTTTGAACATGATGGACGGACATGGCCAACCAGCTTTGCTTTACATCGTACCTTTCACACTAGGTAGGTAACAAGGCACGTCAAAAAGAGAGTGAAAAGCCCATAATTAGCTTATATAGTTGATTCAATTTTTCTTTTGTACCAGGCACATTTATAACATTGGGGAAGAAGAAAGGTGACTTGAAGCATTTATGGACCCAAGGAGAACCCGATAGACCTTGCCCACATGTCCAACTTAAACCCTCCGAAGAATGACGGCTGTAATCACATCCCCGACTTATCTTTTAGAGTAAAATACGGATACAATACCTGGTGTAGATTAGAACAAAAGTTGAATCTTGAATGACTAGTGTTGTAAACTGTTATAACCAGTTTCTTCCCAGTTTAAAAGAGATTTTAAGATGTATTAGAGCAGATTGTTTTGTGCGTTTACATCGTTGTAGTGAAACTGGTTTCCCTGTTCATGTACTTGAGCTTACCATTGGACTGAGTCGACTGACTACAGTTTACCCTTAAAAAATATATATCGGAAATTACTGTACACTTGAAAAAGTCTCTTTGTTACATTTTTTTTTTTCATGAAAGTCGCAATGTTGTTACTTCTTCATTAGAACTCTCACGTTCAGCCTTAGTCTCTGCATTTTCAATCCAATCCTTGAAATAGTTTTAACATTTTATTTCTGCTATTTTTCAGATCGAATTTATCGAACCATCAACGAATTTATTACATTTTTAATTCCTCAATCTTTGCTTTCCCAATCGGCTCCCTGAAATAGCATTACCATTTTCATTTACTGCTGTTTTCCATATCAATTTCATTATGTAGACAATGTGTGGAAACAAATGGACCAAGATTTGATGGTTTCGTCCAAGAACTGTAGCGATGTGTACTCTTGAGGTGCAATTTTCTTGCTCCCACACCCTCCATTTTTCATCAAACGCACACAGAGATGACCCAAAAAGAAAAAAGAAAAAAAAGGGGGATTGCAACGAAGGAGCGACGGCGGCATTGAAGAAGGTGGTGGAGGGTGGTTGGGGTGGGGGGGGGGGGGACAACGCCGTCATCATGATGGAGAAGTTGGTGGAGTGAATGCTGAGATCTCATAGGGAGAGATTGCGGTTTTGCATTGCAGGGATGAGAGGGTGGTCAAGCATCTAAAATTTCAGTTGGCGGTGACAATGCATATTTCGAAGTTTAAATAGATCAATTGTACTTTTTATTTATATATTTTTTAGATACACGAGATCACAGCTTATTATTATTCACAAATCACACATTCTATATAACTCACAGTTTACAAGCACGTAAAAGTACTCACAAACATGCTTCCACCCACCTTGCACGAGGTTAAACTTTTGTAAAAATAATAACAATTTTAGGGGATGTTCTCTTCGCGTTTCAGTTTTCAGTTTTGAATTTATTTTGAGTTTTGTGTTTTTAGTGTCAATTTTGAGATTGCTGAAAACGTATTTTTTTTGTCATTTTGAAAAATTGTTGTCAAAAATAAAGTTTTGACTTGGTTATAACTGAAAACAGTTAAAACAACTTTTTTGGCATTTTCCGTTTTCTTTGTAAATTTTAAACTCGTTTTTGAAAATTTGTTTCTGAAAATAAGTAAATAAACGTTTTTCGGTGTTTTCGAAAACTAAAAACTGAAAATGGTCTGAAAACAGTAAAGAGAACATACCCTTAGTTATCGGTGTGTAATCAAATAAAGGTTACCACCTTGATTAATGTAATTAGTTAAATGAAATTTGAAGTATAAATAACAATCCGACCTTAGCTCAGTTGGTAGAGCGGAGGACTGTAGTTTGTGCTGAAATCCTTAGGTCGCTGGTTCGAATCCGGCAGGTCGGANTAATCACAATAGAGGAAGAACTATAAATTCATATCCATGTGGTCGGGTCCAAGAGCTAAACTTGCCTGACATCTTTGCTCGGAGGGTTCTCAATTTCTCCTCCGTTTCTCCTTTTACGAGGGGGCCTACCTGGGCACACATTCAAAGTTAACCGCGATTCAGCACGTTAAAAGAGAGGTAACGCGCACTGTAATTCTACACAGGAAAAATGC